CTCATTTCCTCTCTGACTGGCCAGTTATCTTTTCTCATTAACATTTCCATTTTCTCCAGGCTTTATTGCCTCTCTCTGGCACAGGCCCTAATGCGTGTTGCTGGGTCCAGCCCCGCTGGGCGCACTCAGGGGAAATTGAACGGTGGCCTATTTAAAACCAAGACGGGGTGATGCTGTTTTTCCACCGCACAGTGCAACAAAACAGAGCGACGCGGAGGGAAACACGCGGCTAAACGCTTATACCACCCCAGGTCTGAGACCGCAGATCAAGTTCCAGTAATAACATCCCAGTAACTCATATGTTCTTGCAGGTTGGATTGGGAGGCAAAGGTAGAGTCAGGTGGGTGATCATGAATGACGAGGGCTGTGCGGAGCTGGTTGGATCCCTTACAGTAACATGGTGCTCTCAGGGTTAGCCCAGGATCCCACTTTCTTAGCAGCTGGTGTAGATCCTGCTGTGAGATGTTAAGCAGGCTCTGCTGATCCCAGCCAGGAATAAGGCAGATGGGAGTGATTCTCTAGGGAGTGGGAGGATCTAGGGTTTGGGCTGAGCTGTCCTGGGGGAGATCCCTATGAGCAGCCAAGCCTAGGGAGAAGGCCTGGGTTGGACTCTATGTTATCGTAAAGTTAATTTCTTTGGGGGTAAGGTGCATTGCTCAACTGCTCTGATCCAGGAGCAGCTTCGGGAAGGAGTTATGACTCTCGCTCCCTTCTGGTCCTGGGGTGGAAATAAGCTACTGCAGCCCTTGAAAGTGTTGCCTCTCCTCCGTGGTCCCGGAGAGGCGTATCCAGAAACAGGGGCTGCTCTCTGCCTCAGACTAGTCCCAAGATCTGGGTAGGCCATGCCAGGGGGTGCAGGGGCCTTGCTTCCCTGCTTGGTGGAGTAAAACAAGGGCACAATCTAACCCTTTGTTAAAAAGGCCAAAGTCCCAGGAGGTGTGCCTGACCCTACATGGTGGGTGGATGACCTTTTAGAGCAGGGGGGCCAGATGGCTTTGCACGGTGCTGGTGTCTCTGCCATTGGATCTGCAGGAGGATTCAGCTCTGCCCAGTTAAGGTGATTGGTGGGACCTGTAACTCTGCGTCACATCAGTCTATCCCCAGTGGGTTTGTTCATGTGCTTTTTCACTCATCAGCAACGTATCCTGGGAGGGTTTTTTATCTCCTTCCTCTGGAGCATCAGGGATGACCCCGGCTGGAGATGTGACACAGGAAAGGGTGAGCTCTGAGGTGGTACCGAGCGGTCTCCGTCTTGGGTGCTTGGCTGGCTGGTTCTTGCTCACATGCTCAGAGCCTGGCTGATGGCCATATGTGGGGTCAGGAAGGAATTGTCCCCCAGGTCAGATGGGCAGTGACCTTGGGGATTTTCACCGTCCTCTGCAGCATGCGGGTGCGGGTCACTTACCAGGATTATCTGGGTATATCTCACTTCATCATTTCCCTGTCATGGCTGGGGCCTCGGGCACCTTGGTCCCTCCTACTCTCTGCCTCTGGCACATACTAGGCTAGGCTCTGGTGAGTCCCATTTCCTTCATTGGGTTTGGTGGAGGGCGGTGCAGGGTGTGTGTGGCCGATGTTATACAGACAGACTTGATGGTCTAACAGTCATAGAATCATAGAAGAATCATAGAATATCAGCGTTGGAAGGGACCTCAGGAAGTCATATAGTCCAACCCCCTGCTCAAAGCAGAACCAACACCAACTAAATCATCCCAGCCAGGGCTTTGTCAAGCCTGACCTTAAAAACCTCTAAGGATGGAGACTCCACCACCTCCCTAGGTAACCCATTCCAGTGCTTCTCCACCCTCCTGGTGAAATAGTGTTTCCTGGTGAAATAGTGTTTCCTAATATCCAACCTAGACCTCCCCCACTGCAACTTGAGACCATTGCTTCTTGTTCTGTCATTTGCCACCACTGAAAACAACCGAGCTCCATCCTCTTTGGAACCCCCCTTCAGGTAGGGGATGGCTGCTATCAAATCCCCCTCACTCTTCTCTTCTGCAGACTAAACAAGCCCAGTTCCCTCAACCTCTCCTCATAAGTGTAAGGTGATGCATTTAGGGATGACTAACAACAATTTTAGTTACAAGCTGGGGACGCATCGGTTAGAAGTAACGGAGGAGGAGAAAGACCTCGGGGTCCTTGTAGACTGCAGGATGACTATGAGTTGACAATGTGACGTGGCGGTGAAAAAAGCCAATGTGGTCTTGGGATGCATTAGGCGAGGTATATCTAGTAGGGATAAGGAGGTGCTGCTTCCATTGTACAAGGCGCTGGTGAGACCTCATTTGGAATACTGTGTGCAGTTCTGGTCTCCCATGTTTAAAAAAGATGAACTCAAACTGGAACGGGTACAGAGAAGGGCCACTAGGATGATCAGAGGAATGGAAAACCTGTCGTATGAAAGGAGACTTGAGGAGCTCGGGTTGTTTAGCCTGACCAAACAAAGGCTGAGGGGGGATATGATTGCTCTCTTTAAATATATCAGAGGGATAAATACCAGGGAGGGAGAGGAATTATTCCAGCTCAGTACTAATGTGGACACGAGAACGAATGGATATAAATTGGCCGTGGGGAAGTTTAGGCTTGAAATTAGATGAAGGTTTCTGACCGTCAGAGGGGTGAAATATTGGAACAGCCTTCCGAGGGAAACGGTGGGGGCGAAGGACCTGTCTGGTTTTAAGATTAAGTTAGATAAGTTTATGGAAGGAATGGTTTAAGGGGATAACGTGATTTTAGTCAAAGGAACAGCGTGCCATGGCAGGTAAATAGTATAATGGCTAATGAGGGTGAGGCTGGAGAATCTTGCCTACGTGCTCGGGGTTTTACTGATCGCCATATTTGGGGTCGGGAAGGAATTTTCCTCCAGGGTAGATTGGCAGAAGCCCTGGAGGTTTTTCGCCTTCCTCCGCAGCATCGGGCAGGGATCGCTGGCAGGAGGATTCTCTGCTAATTGAAGTCTCTAAGCCACAGGATTTGGGGACTTCAACAGCAGAGTCAAGGGAAAGGGTAGGGACAGCTTTGTGGCCTGCATCATGCGGGAGGTCAGACCAGATGATCATAATGGTCCCTTCTGACCTTAAAGTCTATGAGTCTAAGTCATGTGCCCCAGCGTCCTAATCATTTTCGTTGCCCTCCGCTGGACTCTCTCCAATTTGTCCACATCCTTTCTGTAGTGGGGGGACCAAAACTGGACGCAATACTCCAGTGCCGAATAGGGGGGAATAATCTCTTCCCTTGATCTGCTGGCAATGCTCCTACTAATGCAGCCCAATATGCCGTTAGCCTTCTTGGCAACAAGAGCACACCGTTGACTCATACCCAGCGTCTCGTCCACTGTAATCCCCAGGTCCTTTTCTGCAGAACTGCCGCTTAGCCAGTCGGTCCCCAGCCTGTAGCGGTGCATGGGATTCTTCCTTCCTAAGTGCAGAACTCTGCACTTGTCCTTGTTGAACCTCATCAGATTTCTTTTGGCCCAATCCTCTAATTTGTCTAGGTCACTCTGGACCCTATGCTTACCCTCCAGCATATCTACCTCTCCCCCCAGCTTAGTGTCATCCGCGAACTTGCTGAGGGTGCAATCCATCTCATCATCCAGATCATTAATGAAGGTTTTGAACAAAACCGGCCCCAACACCGACCCCTGGGGCACTCCGCTTGATACCAGCTGCCAACTAGACATTGAGCCATTGATCACTACCCGTTGAGCCCGATGATCTAGCCAGCTTTCTATCCACCTTATAGTCCATCCAATCCACCCAAGGTCCCTGCCGGCCTTAAACCCTATCACTGACTCTATGAGTTACAAAAGATTCAAACCACACAGCGTTTCCACTGCAGGCTAACGCAGAATCACAACCACAAGCGTCATGTTGAGTAAGGCCTGGCGATAGCCAGAGGACATGATGTTCCGAAGTTGAAAACAAAGAATGGATGGGTTTTTTTTTGGGGGGGGTATTGATACAATGTATGCCCCTGGGGGACCACTGCCAGGAAACACAAGAGGGACTACTACAGTGGAACATAGGCAGGGGGAGGAGAGATGCTGTCACCTTTCAGAAAAGCAAAACAAAACAGAACGGCCGAGCTGGGTCACAATTACTGGTGTTAGCCACCTTCACTGCTTTGATTTCATGTCATGCTTTAGCAAACATTAGTTACAAAAAATGACGCGGAATCCCTTGTATTGTGTATGATTATTTGTATTTCAACAGTGCGTGGAGGCCTCATGGCGCTAGGGGCCGCAGTGAGAGACAGAGCAAACAACCTAAATAGCCAGGCGAAGGCCCGGAAGTGAACCAGAGGCACAGGGAGGGAGGGACTGAGATCCCTTTATTGCTCGGTGTCTCTCGCTGTTTAGAAATACAGAAGACTGGCTAACTAGAGAGAGGCAATTAGCCACTGAGTCTGGGCTCCTGGCAGTGCTACGTATGTGGCACTTGGCTTTGGTTACTGTATGGTCGTGTCTGGCTCTGTACTTAGTTGGGAAGCTCTTTGGGGCATTTTGTTCTGGGTTTGAGACGCGCCTAGTGCAATGGGATGATGGGCCGTGGCTGGGATGCCTACCTAGTGCAGTAATACAAATAATTAACAACAATATTAATAACACTCGTGTTTCTCTTATCAAGCCACATAACTTACACTCATACAGTGTCCTGCCAGCCAAGTCCCAGGGAGCTGGGACGGAGGGGACTTGGAGGGCAGGACATGGCCCCCTGTCAGTGTGGGGCATTGCGGGACAGCTCCTGAAAGCAATGTTGCCTTGACTCTATGCTGCTCGTGGAGGGGAGTTGTTAAGTCGGCATAGCGGGGCAGCTACGTCAGCAAGAGTGAAATTTAAGTGTAGACACTTCCAGAGTGAGGTCGACATAAGCTGCCTTGCGTCGACCTAGCTCTGTAGTGTAGCCGAGACCTTGGAAAGCCTTGACTGTTCCCTCTACAAACCGCCCCGAGGCAGCACAATGACTGCAGCCCCCCTCTCTTTGTTTTTGGCTCGGCAGGTTGACACGGACGACGTCCTCACCAGGGAAGAGCAGATTTATCTGCTGGGTGAAGCGAAGGAGAAATGTCAAACCAACGTCAAAGCCCAGCTGGAGAAAATCAAAGGTACCATCCCAGTTTGTGTCCTTTGTGCTCAGCCAGTGCCGAGAAAGCTGGTTAAACCACGCAGAGCAAATCCAGTCTCTGTTGAAGTCAGCGGCAAAACTCCTGTTGAAGGCAGGATTTCACCCGGGGGCTTTACTCCGTGCCCTCGGAAGTGAGTGGGGATCTGTCCATCACCTTCAGTGAACACTGGGTCAGGTTCTTTAGATGGCAGGTTCTTTGAGGCCAGGGACCATCTTTTTGTGTTTGTGTACAGCACCGAGCGCAATGCAATCAGGGCTCTTAGCTGCCACGATGATACAAATAAATAACAATAATGCCAGGCTGGCCGCCTGCAGCTTGCCGTCCTCATCCTGAAATCACCAGTTGCGATGCCACATTTATATACATCAAACAAACCACCGCAAGGGGGTGTCCTGCTGGGGGCCTTTCCCTCATCGGCGTGAGACGCTTGTAAGCAGATGTGCTGCGATGCCTCCCTGCCTGCAGTAATTGCCTAGAAACCAGTGTTTCTGTATAAGACACCTACAGTATCCGGAAGGGTCCTGGGCTGGGTCATTTCTAGTGAGCTGGTCTGTAGCACCGGGTACCCAGGGCAGTAGCATGTGGAGGCTAGAGTTAGCCAGGTGAATTAGCTTGTGGTGCAAGGTGCTGCCATGTGGTGTATACACAGGGCCGTCCCTAGCCATTCTGGGGCCCTACAGAGCCCCCCCGTGGGGGGTGGGCCCCAGGCCTCTGCGGGGGGAGCTGGCTTGGGGGGCATGGGGGAACCACTCCCTGGCACTCACTGGGGGTGCACCGGGTCACTGCACTTCCCACTGCTGGTGAGTGCAGGCCTGACCCTGCAGCAGTCCTCAGGGGAGTGGGGACAGGACTGGGGCGGAGCAGGGGCGGGAAGGGGGCAGAGCAGGGGTGGGAAGGGGTGGGGTGGGGATGGAGCTGGGGCGGAGCAGGGGTGGGGGCCACGGGGAAGAGGCGGAGCAGGGGCTGGAGCAGCACGCAGCTGCCTAGGACACCATGAAATGTGGTGCCCCAAGTTTCCTGGGGCCCTACGCAGCTGCGTACTTTGTGTATGGATAGGGACGGCCGTGTATACACTTCAAACCCTAACCTCTGCTGGAGGCAAGACGCTGGGCCAGGTGCTTCAGAGGACTAGTCCGGCATGGCACATTGCATGTGCTCAGTCAGTTCTGCCTAGCAAGGCTGGCGGGGCTCCTTGATCTTTCTCACGGCCGTAGTACTGCAAAATGAAAGAACACACACCGAGGAAAGGACAGCCTGCTAATGGGCAGACAGGAGGTGAGCTAGGATTACGGCTCTAAGCAGCTCAAAACGGAGCCCATCCCGTTATATTGATTTGTTATCCTGTCTCTCCCACCCCACCCCACCCCAGCCTGCTTGTTTGCCTCGTCTCGCTGCTCCATCTTGTCTAGTTACCCCCTAAGCTCTTCGGAGCAGGACTTGCCGCTGACTATGTTTGTCCAGCGCCTAGCATCAGGGGGCCCAAGCATGCAATATAAACGTGAAATAATAATGATACCAATCATGAGCCACGTCTTTGCTTATTGGCTAGATGCCAGCTGCTTCCCGGAATGGGACGGAATTGTCTGCTGGCCCGAGGGCTCCCCAAGCCAACAGGTGTCGGTCCCGTGCCCAGAGTACATCTACGACTTCAACCATAAAGGTACACTTGGAAAACATCCCTGTCGGCCCCAGCTTTGGCTCACTGGCGTTGCCAGTTCAACGGCTGGTTTTCAAAGGCGTCTCCGAGAGAGTAGCTCGAATCACTCAAAGTTCACCCTATGAGCATCCCAGACAAGGTGCTTTGATGAGCACAGCCTCAGACCAGTCCTAGTGAGTTAACAGGGATGAGCAACCCCCTAAGCGTATTATCCTGGATTAGTGCATCTGAGCATGTCTCTCCCTAGCACGCAGCCCCTGGCAACTGTCGCAGCCCGCTGCCGTCTCTAATAGCTAACAGTGATTGGGGGGTGTGGTTGTGGTTGGCGGTTCAATCCCACCTGCGGTCTGGAGCCATGGATTGTTGCAGGAACATGGGATTAAAAGGCTGTTACAAGGAGGAGGGTGAAAAATTGTTTTCGTTCACCTCTGAGGATAGGACAAGAAGCAATGGGCTTAAATTGCAAGGGAGGTTTAGGCTGGACTGTAGGGAAAAACTTCCTGTCAGGGTGGTAATTGCCTAGGGAGGTTGTGGCATCTCTGCCATTGGAGATTTTTAAGAAGAGGTTAGACAGACACCTTGTCAGGAATGGTCTAGAATAGATAACACTTAGTCCTGTCTTAAGTGCAGGGGACTGGACTAGATGATCTATTGATTAGATGGTCCTATGATTTAGATGGTCTATTGATTAGATGGTCCTATGATCTAGATGGTCCTATGATTTGCTCTGCAGTGGCTTGGCCCGTTGGGTTTCTTGGAGGTCCCACTGCCCTGACCCTGTCCCCGTTTTCAGGCCACGCCTACAGACACTGTGATGCCTATGGGAATTGGGAGCTAGCGCTCAACATCAACAAGACGTGGGCAAACTACAC